ATCAAATCTCCTTGATAGCTGATCTTTGAGCCTCTCGATCTCCTTGACATCTGATCTTGCTATCAGCATGTCATCCACATATAGCAGTAAAATAATGAAAGAGTTACCGAACTTCTTCACATAGCAACAATGATCAGCATTACACCTGGAGTATCCTATCTCCAGCATGAAATTATCGAATTTTCGGTACCACTGTCGAGGAGCCTGTTTCAGTCCGTACAAGCTCTTCTTTAGGCGACAGACATGCTGATCATTTCCTCTATATCCCTCTGGTTGCACCATGTAAATTTCCTCCTCGAGATCCCCATGCAGAAAGGCCGTCTTCACATCTAACTGTTGCAACTCCAAGTTTTCCGCCGCTGCGATGCTTAAAACTAAACGTATAGTGGTTAACTTAACAACAGGTGTAAAAACATCGGTAAAGTCAATACCGTATCTCTGTTGGAATCCCTTTACTACAAGTCTGGCCTTGTACCGTTTTGTTCCATCTGATTCCTCCTTGACCCGATAGACCCATCTGCTTTGAAGAGGCCTTCTTTCCTTGTGGGAGATCACACAAATCCCATGTGTGGTTCTTCTTCAACGAGTTCATCTCGTCTTCCATCGCAAGCTCCCACTTGCTCTTCTGGGCATCTTTAACTGCCTCTGCATAACAGTCGGGTTCCCCAGAATCAGATAAAAGTAGGTAATAAAGAGAAGGGGAGTACCTATCCGGGGCCCTTCTCATCCTCAGTTCTCGGCCCAGTGCTAGAGGCGTGCTGCTCTCAACAATCGGTTCATCCGATTCTGGTTCTGCCTCTTCTTCTGTACGCTCGATCTCATCTATCTGAGCTCCCACTGAATCTGCTGGTCTCATGATTCCGGTATTTGAAATATCGAGACCAACATACTCCTGCATGGTCTTGTCATCGTCCAGGTATTCCTTCCGGTCCTTGTACATTATGCCTTCATTGAACACCACATTACGACTGCGAATAATTTTCCGATTTTGATCATCCCAAAATCTATACCCAAATTCGTCAGTCCCATATCCAATGAATGTACATTTGACGGACTTAGCATCCAACTTTGTCCGGTCGTCATTCAAAACGTAAGCCAAACAACCAAAGGTACGTAAGAAAGAGAGATCAACTTTCTTACCACTCCAGACCTCTCCTGGAATTTTGTTGTTCAGTGGGACAGAAGGCCCCCGGTTGATCAAGAAAGCGGTCGTGCTGACTGCTTCTGCCCAAAACATCTTGGGCAGTCCACTCTTCAATCGCATGCATCTCGCACGCTCATTCAGTGTTCTGTTCATCCTCTCTGCAATGCCATTTTGTTGAGGTGTCCCTGGGACCGTCTTCTGCATCCGGATCCCATGATCAGCGCAGTATTCTTTGATGGCTTCACTGTTGTACTCGCCACCGTTGTCGGATCTGAGACATTTCACTTCCAGACCTGTCTCTTTCTCCACGAGTGCTCTCCATCTCCTGAAAGTATCAAAGGCTTCGAATTTTCTTTTCAGAAAGTATACCCATACCTTTCTTGTGCAGTCATCGACGAACGTCATGTAGTACATCGATCCTCCAAGAGATGTCACCGGTGCTGGCCCCCATAAGTCAGTGTGCACGAGCTCCAGTTTTTCTGTCTTTGGAGCTCTCCCGGTGGTTATGAAGCTCACTCGCTTCTACTTTCCAAGCACGCATTGCTCGCAGAGACCCAAGTCCACTGACTCCAACTCGGGCAAAAGTCCTCTCGACTTTAGTACCTTCATTCCTTTTTCGCACATGTGGCCCAAGCGACTGTGCCACAAGTGCGATTGTGAGACAGCTCCTGCCAGGA